GAGCAGAAGCTCCTGGCGTAGCCGACAGGGGCAAGGAGTCAGGTGCCAAAGGCGACACAGCCCCCGTCCTGAGCCTCTAAGGCTTTTGCACCCTGTAAGCTGGGAGAGCTGAAGGCAGAAAGGAAGTGTGGCTCCTGGCCCCCGGTGACAGAAGAGCAGCCAGAACCACAGGCAGACGTAGGAGCTTGGGGACGGGGACAAGATTTGTGGGGGCCCTGGCCTCTTCTAGTGCATTCGCATCCTCAGTACCACGGCGAGCGGCAAGTGCTGAGCACAGACACAGCTCATGGATGGAACTTCGTGCTGCTCCCCGGGGGGGCTCATTTAAGGTCCTACAGGACATCAGCCCTTCGCAGCTAGTGATCTGCTTATCTGTAGAATGAGGGCAAGTGTTAACACTCGACTATCTGGACGTGCACACAGACAACCACAAGCTTGGTATAGCGTTTCTTTATCAACTCTAATAAATTCGTACATTAATGTCATGCAGTGAAAGCAAGCAAAATCAAATCTGAGGCCTTGACATTACTGTGGTTTTAAAACTTTATTATATTTTAAAATCTGAAACTGTAAAACATAGTATTCATACAAACACCTGAGGACTGTTCAGCTGGGCACAGCATCTTCACACAACTTGAGAGAAGATCAAGTTTAAAATAGAATCTTGTCTTACAAGAAACAACATAAATGAGTAACATAAATAAAAGCACCTTTTAAGTCACATATGCCCAGTAAAGAATTGCATTTGTTTATAAAGCACACTTGGCTTTTGAAAAGGAAGATGTATATTTTTGCCCCTGGTGAACATTTTATTGGCATTTGTAACAAATGGCTAATACACTTAGCACCAATTCTCACAGCTTATAAATATTATATCAAATGTTATATAATATAACAAGGTAATAAATAAAACAATGAACAGGTTTCACTTGAATGTTCTAATTTTCTAGTTCTTAAAATAAAGTCCAAAATGACAAATTAGAGCTAATGTATTTTTCAAAGTTTAGTAGGATAAATGGCTCAGAAAGCAAATGAACTAGAAACATTGCACAGGACAGAGAGCTTCCCTGTATGGAAACCCTGAAGAGTCAGCTGAGAGGTACTAGTGATGGCAGATGATGTGAATATTTCTAACAGAATAAAAACATCTCACTGGATATAGTTCATCTTTACCTCTGTGAAGTGCAAAGTGCTATCCTTAAATTCAAAAAGAAGACTTACTTATGTGTATACTTCAGATATAGAATAAAATATAAATATGAAACAGTATCATTATGAACACAGACAATAAAAATGTATCTTTCAAAAATTTGGACATAGGCATCTTTATAGAGAGATGGGAGCAATGAGTGCCTAGTGAAATGTCCAAGCTTAGGTAAAATATGTTAAGTTGTAAACTAAGTATCTCTTGCATAAAATGACCGTTCTAACAATTTATCTAAAAATTGGTAAAAATACTTTAAGAAAGCTTGTAAGGTTGCCTTTTTTTCTTTAAATAGAAACAAATACAACATATATAGAAATAATAATAGAAAGGAAAATACTTTATATGGCTTTCCCTTTTGGGAAGCTGGTAGAACATGAACAGAAGCTTGCAGTAACAAACATAAAAGATTTTAGAAAGATGCTATCTATAGTTGCATCTTTTAAGTTTTCTTCTAAGGAAAATCCATGGATTTACTAGAGAACTTTTCAGGCCCTGATATTTTCTCTTTGGGATTCAGCTGTTTTGGTTCCTTAGATAAAGATGAACAGAAATTAGAGGTGTTTCTGTTTCCTTTGTGAAGTACAACTGTAAACTATGCAATAAAAATAATAAAAAGATATAACGAAAAAACTCCCAATCTAACAAACCGCCAGTGCTCACATGTTAGATGGCTTCTCAAAGAGCAGACCAGACTATAATGGAGTTCTGCAATTCTGGACAGAACATAGTTTTAGAAGAACCTTCTACACAACAAAAACTTCTAAGGGCAGAAAAATGATTTTACACCAAGATGGCACTGGTCTCCCCTGAATGAAGATCGAGCTAAATTGACACAAACATGTTTTCAGTTGACAAAGAATTTTTCTTCTTTAAGCCTATCGATGTAGTGGCACAACTTCAGGGCTGTCCCCAGCTTCAGCCCCATGTACTTAATCATCATGTCACTCTTTAGTAGTAGCAGAGCCTTTCCATCAATGTCCTACAGACAGAAGGAAAGGACAGTGATTAGTTGATAGGTTCATATTTTATCAGAATGGTCCTTTCTTCATATTATATGAACATGTGATACCAATAATAGAGCAGCTCCTTCCAGATGTATATTCTCCGAGTATACACCTGCTTGATGGAAACTATTAAAAATATAATTTGTACAATGAAGCATGGTTTGATCATTTATAAATTTACCTTGAATTTTAGGAAGAAAATTTAACCTAGTATCTTTTTAAAAATGTGTATTATTTATTTGAGAGAGAGAGGGTAAGCACAAAGTAGGGGGGGGCAGAGGGAGAGCAAGAAGGGGAGCCAGACACAAGGCTTGATCCCAGGACCCTGAGATCGTGACCTGAGCCGAAGGAAGACACTTAACCAACTGAGCCACCCAGGCGCCCCCAACCTAAAATCTTAAAAATGTCCTAAGCATCAAACTACCTACCTTTAAATATTGTGCTGAATAAAATACTGCATATCTATGACAGAGTAAAAACTGTGAATGGTAGAAATGGATTTCAGATGGCCCTTAGTTATCTTAGAACAGCTTGGAATACGAGGGTGTTAGCATCCATACGAACTGTACACATGCTATAGAGTGCTGTCTTGATGTTGAAAGCTAATCAGTTAGCTGTCTGAAGTTGATTAGATGCTTAAAAACTATTTTCTTGCCATATCAAAGAGGGTATGGCTACTAATTTTATTCATCAGGAAACACTACAAAAACATGACTTCATAGTCACAAGGCATCCTCCTCAAGTTCTTTACTAACAGACTGACTGATGTTGCTGAAACACATTACTTGGTTTTTACAAGTTCTGGTCTAAAAATAAAACCGTACTGTCTGAAAAGACCTGAAACCCCTTACAGTGCTGCCTTTCTCAGGCACTTTCTGTACTTTTCCTACTAAGTACAATAAAAATTAGAACTTATAAAAAATGTAACCCATGATGTTACTTTGTAAATGGCATGAGGCTATCAGCATCCCAAACCATCAACAACCATATAAGGTTAACAGAACTGAGCCAAACGGGATCAGTTGCTGGCTTCATTGGGCATCATAACAAAAAGGACACCCTGTCACACTGTTCCTATTTAAATCCAGCCTCTACCATTTAAGGAGCTAACTTTGGGCCAAGTAACCTTTCTCACATATGGAAAATCAGTTGCTAGGGTTCCCCCACCATCCACACTAATCAGTACCCAACTGAAGGGCCTAGACAGAGGTCATTCAAAAGCATTATGGCACGGGCGCCTGGCTGGCTCAGTCCTACAGCATGCGACTCTTGACCTTGGGATTGTGAGTTCAAGCCTCCCACTTGGGTGTAGAGCTTACTGAAAGAAAGAAAGAAAGAAAGAAAGAAAGAGAGAAAGAAAGAAGCATTATGGCAGGAAAACCAAATCAAAATATACATTACATGTTGCCTGAAAAGGTCAGCGATGGCGAATGTGAATGTCTGAGGATCTGTTTGTTTCAGAAACTGGATCACTTCCTCCACAGACCAGGTTGAAGGGTCATCCGAGAAGCTTTGTTTTAGGATACCTGGGTCAGTTCCAATTGGTGAACTTGTAGCTTCAATGGGGGAAAAAGACAAATCAAACTTGACCTGATCATTATCCCAAAAGAAGAGATGTTAGGTAGGGAGAAATGCCCTTGCATCAAGGACGTTGAGGATTATAGATCAAATAGTGCTACTTGTCATGTGTCATTTCACACTCACCAAAGTTGGGCGGGATACAAAGAGATGAGGCAGTATGGCCGAGGCACTTATTTTCCATTAGAGCTGGATAAGTCATCATCTCAGGGTTATGCGTCGGACTGGGCTCACCTTGACCCAGAATGGATCCGGGTGCTACTGTACAAGCTCGAGTAGGTGAGAACATGTGGCTGCTATTGGGCCCTGGGCTGGGACAGTAGGGCACGATGGTAGAGGAGCCCTGAATCGGATCATCAGGTGTGAAATATGGCTGGTATGAATGTGAAGAATACATGGACGGAAGTGTTGGACTCTGGCTCAGATTCGGCTCCTGCTCAGGGAGGTATGACTCTGGATCCCGTTCTGGGGACCCCTCCTCTGAACGGTAGGGTGATCCTATAGGATTGCTCGGGGAATCATCTGGGGGCCTTTCCACTGGCATAGTTGGGCTATAACTTTCAGGGTAAGAGAATGAAGAAGGAGGTTCCTTCTTCCTCAATTTCTGCAATCTGATCTTTCTGGAAAGCAGGTAATTATAATTTTTATAAGCATATCCAAGTGGCTTCTGAAATGACACAAACCCAGCATAAACTAACTGTCAGTGAGTAAAAAAGGAAATAAAATAAGTAGTAAATATAAATTTTTTTTTCAGGAAACACCGCTTTACATTACTAAATATATATGCTCTATTTTAATTATATGATTTTTGTTCCTCTTCAACCCTATCATTTTAACTGAATTTTATACGTTGTGTTTATAAACGTAAAACTATTCATTGTCATACACTTCTCAAACCTAAACTTAAGCATCTTCCCAACAAGTTTCAGTCTCCCATCTGCTGCTACAGCAAGAATCAATTTGGCCTTGCTAATCTCATAGTTAATAGTTCTCTCTCATTTCTAACTCAATGGCATCTTTAGAAGCAAGAGGTCTATTGCAGTTGTGAAAATATTTTTGTTAACACTCACGCGATTCTGCCACAGTGATTTCACACGAAAACGGTGGATTTTTGAAACTTTTCCATGAATGACATCAAATTTCTTATCCAGGTTTTGAATAGCATCATAGATGACCTATTATAATATAAGCTATTAATAGTTTCTATTCTAAAAGTAACATAAGAATACCAATAAGCCAAAATTTGACTGCTAGAAACAAAGAAAAGTTCTCAAGCTGTCAGAACCAGATGCCTGGTTTTGGTGACACAGAGAGGAGCTGATGGAGATAAGGAGCCCAACCTCCTACTCAGCAACTCCAGGCCATGCGGGCATTTTAAAAAGCTTTAATACTGGAAAGTAAATGTACCACCATTCTTATAAGCCACCATATTTATGATGGAGTCGTTTTATATCAAGGAAGGGGCTATTTTAGGAAAGAAAGCTTCAAATCTGCTAAAAAGGCCAAAGAGCCTCTTTCCATATAACCATGCCGAGAATTCAGAGGCAGTGAGCATTCTGTGCTGGAAAGAACAGTGAGCCAAATATAACAGACGTGACTTTTGGCTTCAAAGTATTTCAAAGATAAGGTAATCAACAATTAACCTTATAAAACCTTCCAGTAGATGTTCCCTATTGGCCAACCAGGTTTGTGACTAAAAAAACCTGAGAATTTTTCAAATACACAGAAATTTTATTCAGGCCAAAAATACACTTAAACAGGAGGCCAGGACCATTTCCTTATTCATTCACTCAAACACTTACTGAGGGCCTACTTACTACCTCTTGGAACTGCTTTGCTAGGCGCTGGGACTGTGGACAGAAAGGAAAACAGGAAAACGAGAGCCTGCCCTAAGGAACGGCCAGGTGAGTTGGGGAGAGAGGATTTCAGTAAAGTGATGGGCAGCCTAAAGCAGTGGTTTTCAAAGTGTGGTCTTGGACCAGTAGCATCAATGTCTCCTACTGGCTTGTCGGAAATGCCCCATCACTCACACCACACTTGCTAAATCGGGAACTCTGAGAGCACGGGTAGCGATCTGCTTTCACGAGCCCTCCGGGTGGTTCTGGTGCATGATCAAGTGACCCACTGACCGACAGCACTGAGGTGAACGTGCAGGCTTTAGGGGAACACACCTGGACGCAAAGACTAGCGTTCTGCCGCTTATCAGCTGTGTGACCTTGGGCGAGTCACTTAACTTCTCTGTGCCTTAATTTCCTCATGTACAGAATCCAGATGAGAATCTCAGAGTTCTCTCAAGGACAAAGCGAGGCGCTGTGGTGTGATGTTAGTACTCCCATCCTAACAATACTACATGACAACCCGCCCAGTAGTGCTCAACCATCCATCAATAGTCATATTATTGTTGGGACTCTGATGGCTACGACACACGTAAGAATGGGCGGCCACGTGTGCACAGAACAGGAGGACCTGACCCAGGCTGGCAGTCGTGGCAGTGTTGTCAGAGGAGATGTCCCCGTTGAGGACTAAAAGACAAGACGGTGTTCACCAGGTAAAGATGCATGAAGGGCAGAGAGGGCAGAAGGAACAGTAGATTCAAAATACCCAGAGAGAACACAGAATTCAGATGTGTAGACAGTGAAGATAAATGACGTTCAAAGAGCTGGGTGTTTTAAGGGAAGGAGAGAGAAGGCATGACAGAAAGAGGGATGGGAGGCCCCAAGTGGAGGTGAAGCTGTGGGAGGGGATGCGGAGAGTGACGGAGACGGAAGCCCAAGGGCCAGGACGTGGCCACTGATGAAGGGAAGCGTCCCGGCACAGGGAAAGAGGCTCAGAGGCAGAAAACAGCACCGCCTTAGCCTTATAGAGGGAGATGCCCGAAGGACAGATCCCAGCCTAGTGGCTGGCTGTGGGGAGAGGAATTGCGACTCAGAGGGATTTGGGCCTCACGCTCCAACCCACCTTGGCCTCCCTGAAATAAGAAGCCAGGGCCGGGCCCTCCGGAGCTTGTGGGGGACGCAGAGGGAGCTGACCAGAGTGCTGGCGAAGGGCCACGGGACAGTGGAGGGATCCTGGCAGCCGCCCCCTCTGCTTCCCAGCCTGCACAGGGCTGGAATCTTCCTAAAGAGGACACTGGGCAAGGACAGAAGAAGAAAAGATGGAAGTGTGCAGCGACTGGTCTAGACCGGTAAGGGAAGGGGTTGAAGAAAGGAGAGAGCTCGCACACTGGGAGAAACGGGGAGGATCCCCGATGGTCCGTTTCGGGGCTGTGACGGGACACTGGGCACTTATCCTCCTCCACGTTCTGGCTCACCACATCTTGCACTGTCGCTCAGAAAGAAGGCCCTGGCAGAGCAGTGGCAGCCCAGGGGGTTGTGGGTGCTTACATGAGGCAGGCCGGGAATGGCCCCGCTGGAAATCAGAAACCCCCCTTTCACCGCCCACCCTCCGTACCTCCTTCCCCAAAGACCTGCTACGTTCCTTTGAAGCAGTCCACTTCTGTTCTCAGTAACAGTGATAAAGACTCACTAAACACGCTTTACTTAGGCAGGGTAGCTCATCTTAATCCAACAAACTTTGCATGTTAACAACTACTTTTGAAAAAATAAACTTCCATTACCTCTAGAGGATGCAGCTCACAAAATCCTTGATAATTACCCCCATCAATCTTTACCAGCATGCTAACTTTTACAAAATCCCCTCAAAACTACGTAAGATATACTCTTTAAAAAACAACAGTATGCTGCCCTTTTTTCAATTGAGAAATCTCAACAATGTATTTAGACACATACTAATTTTTTTCTACATCAATTTCTTTCAAAGATTTTGTAGGGAAAATTAATCAATATCAAATAATAGAACATACATTTCTTCAGTTAATGGCTTTTAAAACAAAGCTATAAAACGTACATATTGGTATTTCAAAATTTTCACCTGGAGGTGCTATTCTAACTAGAAATTATTAAAAATTATTACCATGAGGGGATAATCTTAGGTAATTTGATATAGCAAAATTTCAATTAATTGTACACTTTTACATGAGATAATGGGAATTTTAACTTAGTATTTCAGTAAACTACATTTGAGAAACAGAATTTTGTACCTGACAATGATTGAGGACATCCGTAACAGTTTTTTGTTGTTCTTCGTTGTAGGATGTGTCAGACATCACAGTTTCCTGCTAATATTTTAAAAGTTAAGTAGTTAATGCTTTACTTTTATAAGAGCCAAATTCAACACCAGGAGGAAAAAAACACTTTACATTTATTTATTTAAATTGTTTTTATTTGTCACCAACTTTTCAAAAGGATCCAGACGTCTTAATCTCAAGCAGAAACAAAATAAAAGCTCACATTAATACGAAAATGAAAATGACAACTGCTAATTGAGAGAGGAAATAAGAATTTATTATATCAGAAGGACCTAGGTTTAAAGTTTTGTACTGAAAATGAGTATAAACTGCTCTGAACTTCCTACTACCTAAGGAAAAGGGAAGTAAAATGGTTATATGGTTACTACCTAATGAAAGGAAGCAAACAAGTTCAGGAAAGACCAATATTCTTTGGGTTTGAGTTTAGAGGAACTCCACAGTATATGAAGAATTTAAACATTTTTCTTTAAAATGGTTAAGTGTTAATGTATCTGACAAGTGGCAATTCACATTACTTACATTATTGACATATGCAGTGTTTGGTTCATATGCATAAAGAACAGTGTTATCATCATCATAAGCAGGTATTCGTGTTCTTATCTAAGGAAGATGTATTAACAAATTAAAAGGAAAGATGAAAGATAGAACTGAAAGAAACACTGAGGACTTCAATTTCACTTTTATGATGCTCCAAAAGCTATTGGTGAATATCAAAGGACCTTTGTCCACTGTAAACACTATGACTACATGAAAAGATGTACCTGCAAAACTGTTTTCTCATTATCTGAACTTAAGGTATCACTGAAGATATCATTTACATTTAAGATATCATTTTCTATTGAGCTTAACCTCTTGTGTAACTCAGGGTTGAAAGACTAGTCTAGGAACCTGGCACCAGAACTGCTGCAAACCTAAGTATTTTTAACCATGAACAAGGAAGCAGGGTTCGTGGCTTTTGATTTTTAGATAATCCAACAGTGCCACTCTGTGGACGAAAGAAGAAACACTTAAGCACCTACTTTTCTTGATAAATTGATCACCTTAAAACTTTTTTTAAATAGGACAGTTTATAAATAAATGAATATACAACAAATAAGCATTAGATTTCATTTAAATACAGTATTCTAAGAATGAATTATAAACTATAGGAATAATGTTAAAATAAAGACAGAAGCTATGTAGTCTTTGTTTCAAAAAGCATAACCAAAACAATATGGAAAGGGCTATAGATTAGTTCTTATAAAAATATACCATGCATATTGGTATATGCCAACACTATACATGTTGGTAAATGCCAACATGTACAGTGCCTTATGCTTTTCAAACTTCTTTCACATACTTATGTCAGAAAGCAATTCTCAGTAGGCAGTTAACATTATGTCCAAAAATGAAAAGATACTGGGGCTGACAGAAGTTAAGAGAATTGCCCACAGCACTTAGGTGGCATTAATACCCACATCCTTATTTAAGTAAAGAAATGCTTTTTCTGTTAAGCCAAATTATATATAATTTAATAATCTATATTTTTACTTACCTTCAGGAATCAAGAAACAGCAGAATGTGACAGAATTGTACAACAGCACAATCAAACACAATCAAACAAACAAACAGCACTGTTTGGCAAGATTTTCATAAAGTTACTTAAATTAACCCTATGAGCTAGCAGTGCAGCTCCTGAGTATTTACCCGATAGAAATGCTAGTTCACAAAAAACTTGTACGTGAATGTTTGTCACAGCTTTATAGACCACTGTCAAAGCTCATGAAGTTGTTATTTCTGAATTCCACTCAATGAAATTAAATTCCATTTAGAAAAGAAATAGAGCACAGTGAAAAGAACAAAGACAGATTTATTTGAAATACAAACCACATCAGCTTCACTGGAGCCGCTAGACATCTTTTTTGAGCAACAGCAGCATTCCACCTCCTCCGAGTGGGCCCTACTTGTATTTAAACTTGCTGGTGGGTTTATTTGTGAAATTCCCTGGTCACCCAGGGCTGCTAAACCACCTACTCCTAAAAAGCAAGACATAAAAAAGTTACTTCACACATTACCATCATCAACTTAATAGGGATATGTTCTCCAAATGCCAACTCAAACTGAACCGGAGTCCTGGCTGAATTTTAGAGTAACTCTTCCAGTAGTGACTTAGAATAAACCTTTAAAAACTGAAGAGCTATGTTGTCACACCTAGATATAAGGATCAAGATCACGCACAAAATCTAAATTGTGAAGTAAATACAACTGAAAGGCTACAGAGTAAATGCTGGAAAAAATGAACAAGAGAGCACAATTCCTAACTGCTTTTCGCAAGGCACTGAGAGGCACTTGGGTGGCTCACTCAATTGAGTGTTGGACCCTTGGTTTCAGTTCAGGTCATGATCTCAGCTTTGTGAGACTTGAGTCCTGTGTCTGCTTGGGCTTCTCGCCCGTTGCCCCTCCCCCCGCTAGTGCTGTCTGTCTCTCTCCCTCAGATAACTAAATCTTTAAAATTAAGAAAAAAATTCTCTTTCTTTCTCTCCCCCCCCCAGTGCTGTCTGTCTCTCTCCCTCAGATAACTAAATCTTTAAAATTAAGAAAAAAATTCTCTTTCTTTCTCTCCCCCCCC